AGCTTTTCAGAGAAGAGGAGATTTGGACTGAGGGAGGATATCTGTGTTGTCTGGAGTTGTGGGAAGTTTCAGAGCCTTTGATTTCTTAAACTGTATACTCCCCAGTTATAAAGATAGTTACGTCAGGAGGGAAGGAAGGCCCTGTGTACTGCTGGAAAATTCTTGCCTAAGAGCATGGTGGCCTGGCTCCCAGGGAGTCCTGGTCTGCAGTACGGGGAGCCCTGGTAGGGGGAACCCACAGTGCCTTATGCATGCAGATAGTTAGCTGAGTTTCTCTCCTGGACACATTTTCTTCATTAAGATAGTCACATAATTGTGGAACAGGTCATCTGTGGCAATGCAGAACTCCTTGCAACACAAAGTGAACATAGCTTATGAGTTTTATCAGGTGGAAACCCTGATAATACCTATTACCATCCTAGCAAGGTTTTCTGTGACCTCTCTCTCTATCTCTGCTCCAATTTTCCTACCACCACCATAGCCACCCCCTCACCATCATCACTTTTGTACTTTGTGAAAGAAAGTGACAAGGATTCCTGGATTGCTAGTGGGAAAAGTTGAGTTGACCAGTACTAGAGTTTGAACCTTAACATGGTAATTTAGTAATAGCATGTGCCTTTGGTATTTATACCTCTTTGTAATTCATACTCCAGAGTTTCTTGAAAATGTGGGATAGTTTAATTCTGTACATGAACTGTAACAGTGCCCCTGGAAACAGAGAAAAAATAAGAGGCTAAGACTACTAACATTCATTGTAAGGTCCTCCTTTTGGACCTACTGGGGTGATGGTGACCCAGGGTTCTTGAGCAACCTTGGTTTGACAAGGAGGTCAGTCCATGAATTCTATCACACATAGGGTTGAATAAAGTCTTTGAGATGCTCAGGAGGCAGCAGCTATGGGGTCATGGATAGACAGATGGAAGGGACCTTGGAAATATTCCCAGCCTGAGCCTTATGGAAGCCAAGAGACCCCAGAAGAGAAGCAATTTTCCCAGGGCTCCAGGATGGTGGCTCCAAGATCAGGATTGGTCTCTGGACTCCCTGTTGGGTTAGAAATCATTGAATATCATGATGAAGTTCTATCAGAGTCCAGATCTGTGCCATTCATTAGCTATGTGGCATACGATTAATCAATACTATTTCTCTAACCTACGTATTTATTGTATCCGTGAATCTGAAGGATTTCCTTAGTAGGTTCCTATATAGCATATTTCTATCCGAACATTCCACTTATGTGCCTGTAGTGTTTTTTGTATTTCCCTCCTAACATTTTTTTTGTCTAAGAAATTTTAAAGTTTCATTTAACAAAAAGTAGAGAAGCATTTTTGTGTGACTGTATGTGAGTAATTATAACATTGTCTGAGGTTTCCAGAAGAAGGTGGTAATATGTGCAGAAAATAGCATTATAGGCTAATTTATAATGTAAAAGTTGGAAAGTAGGAATGTCAGGCTGACTTTAGTGTTGGTATCTTCTTTGTTCAAACTTGTGGCCTATTAACAGAATACCTATTGAAGTCAATTTCAAGATAAACTATAACAGGAATTAAGCAACTTCCTTTTATTCTCTAAGAAATAAAAGGGCGCGTTAGTTTGCTTATATACATGAAAGAACATTATAAGTTGTAGTCCCCCTGAATTGACGTCAGCTTCCTAAATTTAAGATGCTGGCAGAATGTGTGTGTGTGTATGTGTGTGTGTGTGTGTGTGTGTGGTGAGAGAGAGAGAGAGAGAGAGAAAGAGAGGAGGTAGAAGAAAAAAAGTTATTTCCGCTTGCTTTGTTAATCACAAGAAATAAATAATTACTTTCTCCTCTCTAGTGAATTGAAGGCTGTAACGCATCCCCTGTGCTTGCTCCCCTGTTGGTGTAGAAACCTGGTTACTGGCTGTCTTGGGCCCAGCTTGGGACCCTGCTTTTATGACCATTTGAGGGTCACTTTTTACAGGTCTCCCTGTTTGCCCTAATTTGTGTTGCAGAATAATCTGTTTATTTATTTGTACTTTGTGGTGTTAGAGGTTGACTCCCGGGCTTTTCCACTGAGCTATAGCTCCAGCCTTTTTCACTTTTTATTTGCAGATAGGGTCTTGCTAAGATACTACATTTCCCAGTCCTGGCTCTGTCATGCGATCTTTCTTCCTGGACCTCTCCTTTTGCTGAGATCCTACGGACGCGCTCCTGTGCGTGGCACGCCCTAAATTTTTGCCTATCCTTTAATGATTTCTTAATGCCAGCACACCATAAACCCAGATTCCTCTCTAGTTTTTGTTTATAAGTTTAGATGATGCCATTAGTAGTTTGCTCTTGAAATTTTGTCTGCTACTTATTCACGGAATGCTGCTGAGTGCTCACGGTGTGTTGCTTGGAGGTTCCAGCGATACAGGAATGAAGAAGGCGAGAGTGCCTTTGTAGTTCCCCCACTGCAGCGATCCAGGGAAATGACAGGAGGATGTGAGACGGGGAAGAACTGATAGGGTTTGGGGCTGCCTTCCTATCCCACGGAGAGCCCTGCTCTGGGTGTCTGGGCTGCTGCGGTCTAATTCTATCTCTGTCAGGAAGCAGTAGGTGAGCAAAACACTTAGGGTGTGTTAGAATGCAGTTTTTGAGGTTGACAGCAAAAGAAAAGTTTCTGTGTGCTGCAATGCAACATCAGAATGTGGAATAATTGCTATCACCAGTGGCGTTTGGCTATCTTTCTGGGATCATTGATTTCTGTCAGAATGTGGGAAATACATTATTTACTCATTCTGGCTCATATTCAAAGAGGAGTGCCCCTTCCATGTGGCAGTCCCCAGTGGTGATGCCAAAACTCCCCAGAGTGTGTGTATGTTGGAATATTGCTCTGCTGAACCCAAAGAGCCAAACTGTTCTTGCCTAAGCCCTAGTTCGGGAGTCGGGTAGCTTCTCCCAGGGATTCTGAACCAGACTGAGGCTGGCCCAGATGCCTGGCCTTCCCTGACCAAGTGGTCTCTGCTTTGGTTATTTATCTGGCAGGAGGACCACATCTTAACCCTGTTCTTTCTAATCACTTCAGGTCCAGGTAAATGGTGGAGGAAATAAGGCTAAAAACCAGTGGCTGTTTGTTGTGCAGGCTCACCACTATGGTTCTCACATGTGCCATTACATTTCCAGGTTAAAAGAGCAAACATTAAATAACTTAGCTAGTAATGGCCTATGTGGGTACTTGAAGCCATTTGTGTGACTCACGTAGATCTGCTTTTTCTATGATTGAGACTTATCTTTCATTGGCCCTTTTGCAACTGGTTTTTCAGCTACCTAGAATTCTCAGAGAAGTTTTTGCTGCATGTTGACTTATGAACATGGGTCTTGATTGGATCCATTTTAAGATTTTTCTGTTTTAGTGGCCTCTGTTTTGGTAGCAGGAATTGAACTCAGGACCTTGTGCTTGCCAGGTAGCCACTGTGCCACTGATCCCTAGCCCTCTAGTGGCTTTTTGAAGGTTAACGATTTACCAAGCATCTGGGCCAGAAAGTAGTGGAGAGTATTTGTTGACTGCAGTAATAAGCTTCAAATTTGTTTAGATTCTGCTTATGTGTTAAATTTCAATTTCTCTAGTGATCCTTTTTGGTTTTTGGGTTTTTCTTTTTATTGTTTTTGCTAGTACCAGGCATCGAACTCAGGACCTTGCGCTTGCCAGGCAAGCACTTATTAGTGATCCTTTTTGTATCTTAGATGATTTATATCTTTTTGGGGAATCATTCAAAGTGTGTGTTTTTTTAAACAAGTGGTCTTTATAAAGACTCAGGCCGGCAGCTATATATCCCATTCACTCAAACATCTGGACAAGACAAAGCAGTTTTCTTTGATGTTTGTTACAGATCTGGCACCCTCCAGTGCTAACAACTGTTTTATTCTGATCTTAACATCATTTTTAAAGCATTTCTTTCTTTCTTCTGCTTGCCAACTTAGCGTCACTCTACGGACTGGCACAGACAAGAGAAGTAGATGGCCACGCCCACAGACCCAGCCACCATGCCCCATCCCGGTCCCTCGCCAGGGCCCGGCCCCTCCCCCGGACCCATTCTGGGACCTAGTCCAGGACCAGGACCATCCCCGGGCTCCGTCCACAGTATGATGGGGCCAAGTCCCGGCCCTCCCAGCGTCTCACATCCGATGCCGACAATGGGCTCTGCAGACTTCGCACAGGAAGGCATGCATCAGCTGCATAAAGTAAGAGTTCAGTCTCCCTTTTGATCCTGCTGTCTGAGTCAGGGATGGCTCATATTCCTGATAACCTCATCTCTTTTTCTTTACTATTGCTAACAGAAGGATCAAGACAGATCTTTGTCTTATCTAGGATATTAAAAACGCACATGCAGAGGTACTTTTATGGCTACAGATGTCCCCGTCCTGAAGATAAGATGCTAGTTCTTTAAAATACTAAGGTAGAACTATGCATTTCTGATAGTTAAAGTCTGTGATGTGTAGGATGAAGGCATTTTGGCTTGGTGAATGATTTTGTTAGTGAATAAGTCTTGGTTTTTTTTTTTTTTTTTTTTCTATCTGTGTTAAATAACCTACCCATCCAAGAATGAACATATTGAAAATTATTCTTTCCTAAAGATGTTGACATTGGGGCCCGGGGAGATGGTTCAGTGGAGTAAGTGCTTTCCTGGCAAGTACAAAGGCCTGAGTTAAATCCCCGGTTCAGCCAAAAAAAAATAAATAATAATAATAATAATTTAAAAAATTAAAAAATAAATAAATAAATTGACATTTATTTAAAAAATTAGATCCCTAAAAAGAGAGTCCCTTTCCAAGTACATTTTAGATGCTTTATTGAAATTGAATCATTTCTATGGAATCCTTAACATGCACTTTGCTGTCTGTCTGTAAAGTAGTTTTATTCTGGTTTTGGAAGAAGATTCATTTAGGGGCCACAGGTCCAGTTCTTTGTTTCTGTACTAAGATAATGATATTTTATTTTCAGTGATACATATTCTTTTGGTGCTGTGACACTGATCCTACTGGTATAATTTGGCATTATGTCCTCATGGGACATTCAAAGAAGAGCCTTCAGCCTTTCAAGAAACTCAACAATCCTTTCCAGCAATTTGCTTGAAAAGTTAATAGTAGCCCAAGCAAACCCATGAAGATATCACACATTGCCTGAGGCTGTGCCTCATGTGATTTGAGGTTTTATATTCCTCAGGACATCATAGGTGGGCTGCCTATTGATAGGATATATTAGGATTCTTCAGAGTAACAGAATCACTGGGAGATATAAACACATTTATTATGAGGACTTGGCTCAGGTAATTACTGAGGCTAAGTCCCACCATCTGTGGTCAGTAAGCTAGAGGCCCACCAAAGCTGAAAGTGTAGTTCCAGTTGGACAGGAGAGGGAGTGGGAGAAAGAAATTTATCTATGTAAGCAGGATGGTTTAGACATATGTACTGCTTATTTCTGCTGGTTTATGGAAAGAAGCAGATAGTACTTAATTTGTTTTGTCTACTTTTTTCAATTGTACTTTTTCTCTTCTTAATTTCTTATGCATTTCTTTCTTTTTTTTTTTTTTTCTGTATTTAGGGCAGGGTCTAGAGGGTCTCATTATGTAAATCAGACTCGTAGTGACGATTCTCCTGTTTACAGCCTCCCAAGTGCTGGGATAACAGGTGCACACCACCAAGTCCAGTCTCAGTGTGCCCTGGGGTGGGGCTGGCATATCACAGCCCACTGGGATCGAATCCCAGGCCACTGTATTCTGCCTAAGCAGGCACTGTAGTCCCCTGAGCTATCAGGCCGGCCCTCTCTCTCTTTTTTTTTTCTTCAAATTTTACATGCATATATCTAGTAATACGTATAGCTGCTTAGAAGACAACACTGTGTATTACAACAAATATCATGAAATTCATATTACTTTGTTAAGTGAAATTTGGTATCACTTGTAATTTTTTCTATTTTAATTCTAATTTGTACTCTCTTTAAAAAAACAAAAACAAACAAACAAAAAAAACCACTGGCGAACCAGAAAAGTCAGTGGCTGCAAATCCAGGTCCCCTTACAGGAGAAGCCCGATATCCCAGCTAAGGCCTGGGAAGCTTTAGGAAGCATTTTCCCACCACCTCTGGGTCTTTGTCTTATTAGGCCCTCTGTGACCAGGATGACACCCACCCACCCTAGGGAGGGCAGCCTGCTTTCTTTGTCTACCAGTTCAAATATTAATCTCAACCAGAAACACCCTCCCAGACATGTCCGGGGACATTTAACTGGATCTCCGGGTGCTCTGTAGCCCAGGTGAGTTCACATAGAAAGTTACCCAGTCTAGTAGACAAGCCGCAGAGGATTCTGACTTGAAATGAAGAGATTACCATAGAAAAGAGCAAGTCTTTCTTCTAATTGAGAAGCGTGTTAGGTCAGTTTTAAGGCAGGATGTTGGAACCTACAAGTTAAGGTTAACTTTTAATGCTGTGTTATTTTGTGATTTTCAAATCAAAAAACAGTATATGCTTATTTTGAAAAGTGGAACAAAGCTAAGACTGGTTAAGAAAACAATTCATCCTAGTTTCACCCATAAGAGCTCGCTGTGTGCGTATTTCACACCTTTTTTCCACTTTCAGCAAATACTGTATTGTACTGTACTCATACACAGGAGTTATTTTTTTTTCTTTTACCGCTTTGGAATCATATAATCTGTATTCATTGCTCTGAACCTTCCTCTGTTCATTTAATAATATATTCTGGCTAGCCCCAAGTCCTCTCCCTCCTTTCTTTTTTAAACCATTTTTAGGGGCTGGTGAGATGGCTCAGTGGTCTAAAGCACCTACTTAGAAGAAGCTTAGCAAAGCACAGGGACTGTGGTTCAATCCCCCAGCACCACATGCCAGCCAGCCCCGCCCCCTGGTGGGCTGAGCTGGCCACACGCACACACACACACATACACACACACACATAAATAAGTAAAATTAAAAAAAAATAGTTTAAACCATTTTTATATCATCAGGTATCTAGAACAATTAAGCTTCCTGTTGTCCTATCTCATGAGGACTGCCTGACCCACTGGAGTCACCACGTTATCTTGTGTTAATCTGGGAGCTGTGTTCCAGAGCTACTGTGCTGCTTGTAAACCTTTGTCCCTGTGAGTTACAGCATTTCAGAAGGGTTTGAAGATGTCTTAGCTCCCAAAGGAAATGTGAAGGAAATATTTAGCTAACCTTTGGTATTTAAGCATTTAAAAATGAAGTGTGCAGCTGAGGGCTGGGGCTTGTTCTCGTTTATATTTTTTTTTAAGCTGGATGGTTTTATTGGCTGTCGTCTCTTCTGATACCTTGTGGTTCTGTTCCCTGACATCTGGACTGCACTTTCTCATATTCTATTCCCCCTTTGTTGCTGTTTGGATTATGCCACTCTTCTTGCATGAGTTGTGCGATTTTTACCATCCTGCTGTCCCTGCCCCGCAGCCCAGCAGCCGTGCCTGGCACGAGGCCCTGGGTGAGCACCACCACACTCACACCTGCTGACCAGATGCTGTCCCTTTCTTCCATTCTTTTTATAGGCAGCTTCGTTCCTTGTCTCACTCCTCCTCTTCGCGCTAAAGCTCAGCATTTTGCTTTTCAACATTACTGGAAATACATAAACAAGTGACCTAAATACATCTGCTGCGTTGCTTTGATTTCCTCCCTATTATTACTATTTAACAGCCTCAGTGACACTCTTTATACTAGATTCTTCCCATTTTTCTTCTGAACATCCTCTTTATGGTAAATTTTTCCTCTTTTCAAGCACTTGCTTTTGACTCTGCAGAAATTAACTTTCTTTTCTCCAAAACTGCAAACACTCATACTTTCTTGCTTGAAGTCATTTGGTTTCTATAAACTCCTGGAAATATTCCTTGCAGGCTGTTTTGAAAATTGCTGGTACAGTTTGGGGAGGAATAGAGTTCTCCTTTTCCAAAGGCATGCTCCAAGGCTCGCTTCTGGATTGGATTAATGTCAGCTCAATAGGTATTTATTGTGTGTGTGTCATGCACTAGGCCTCAGGTCCTGGGTCTGGCCCTGTGCTTGGTATTTATTTCTAAAGACTGCCTTTAACTGTTTTAGGTCTTCCTTCCTCTAGAGCCTAGTGCTGTCTTTTTCACATTTGCCTTTTCCTTGTTCATGCTCCTTCCCTTCCTTGTCTGTTTTTCTCCTCCCAACTGCCATGGAATCTTCTGGATTCAACTTCTTAACTTTCCATTATTCCTTTCTCTCCAGTGGGGTGGGCGGGGGGGGGGGGGAAGAGGTTGTCAAAAAGGTATCTCAGGCATCTCAAATAGTCTTCCTTCATACTTTGGACCAGCTTCCATTTATAACAGGTTTCATGATAACTTAAAAGGGTACAGAAGATGTGTATTGTATTTGTTTACCTTGTGAATAGGACCTTATGTTTATTGGCAGGTTTGTGGCATAACTGAATAAATTTCAACAGTTTTTTTTTTAAGGCTACCTTTATTTATTT